ATCGGGGGGGCTGTCAGGAGCCAGGAGGCCCTGAGGGAGAGCATCCACCCCAAGGATCCCTCAAATCCTCCCTCTCGTCCTTCCACTTACCCCTCCCTAGCCCCCCTTCCTGATGTAAAATAAAAGACATGTATGTTCAAAAATATAAACTGGGTTTATTGAACAAAACTGGAGGTACGGGGGGGGGATGAACCTCTGGGGAGAATGGGAAAAGGAGGTGGGAGAGGGGAAGAGAGAGGGGAGGGGGAAACCTGGGAGGAGGGAGCTGGAAGGGGGAAGCAAAGGGAAGAAGGGAGAGGGGAAGCTCAGGGTTGGGGGGTCTCGCCAGACCACCTTGACTTTCATACTAACCTGCTCCTGGGTTCGCATGTGGCCTTTGGTGGCCAGGCTGGCAGCTATCCTGCCATAGACAGCTGCATTTCTCCATGTAGTGCGGAGATCATGGACGTTGGGGACATCCCCCCAAACCTGAATCAGGTCCAGAATCTCCAACCTGGACCAAGAAGGTGCCCGCCTTCTCCAGCCCGTCAGGCTCCTGGGAGCTGGCAGAGTGCTCCTGGGAAGCGGCGGAGGGGGCACAGGCACTGTGTCCAGGGTCTACCCCTTTAATGGCTCCGGGGTTGGGGGAGAGGAGAGTAAGTTTTCCTGGTTGTGCCCAGAGTGGCCACCAGGGCTCCCTGGGAAGGGCTGGAGGCCCCTTATTTCGAATTAAGTGTCTACACAGCACTTAATTCGAAATAGCTATTGGTGTTACTCCTCATAGAATGAGGTTTACCAAATTCAAAATAAGGGCTCTACTATTTCCAATTTATTTCGAAATAGCAGTTTGCCTGTGTAAATGCTATTAAAGTTAATTCCAATTAACTTAGCGTAGACAATAGTTATTCAGCTATTTAAGCCAGATAACATGAGTACAAGTTGTCATACTTTAAAGAAACTTTAGGTATCTTCCAATTCCTTGTTAATTAAATCACTATCAAGAAAATTTGCTTTATGAGATGTCAAAAGCTATCCAACTTTCTCTTTTTATAGAATGAAATGGTAGCACCATTTAATACTTTTGAATTAAGCTTTCAGGCAATTATGTTTACACAACGCAACAGGGAAATTAAGCTCAAAATTCTGATATTGTGGATTTGGTGTACCACTGTCACCTTTTTGTCTACACATCTGTATATCATCTCATCCGCCCTGATCATTTTTTAACATACAGACCCTGTGGAAATTTTTCAAATGAGTTGAAGTTGGAAAAAAATGTACCTCATGTCAAGCTACGGAAGACCCCAGGCAAGATTTATCTAAGGAGAAACAACATTGTCTGTTCTACCCCTCCAACTCTAACCGACACTAAAGAAGGGTAAATGGAAAGTGTGGATCTATATTGAAACTCTACTTGAACTCCTGTTTTCAGGTGAGTAACTTTGCTCCTTTGAATACCACCAGCACTGATCTCTGTGCACAGGGAGAGGTGACTGAGCTACAGGCAGATCATTTCCATAAACCGGAGCATTTGAAGGCATGTCTTCTAACCAAGTATGTAATGTTTCTACCCAGGATTCTAAGTACTTGGAAAATCACTGGGAAGAAACAGCATGGACCTCTACCCACCATGAATAAGACAGGGGATTTATAAAATGTTTTGTCCTAATTCAGTTTTGGATACATTCCAATCAAGTTTTGTTCTCTTCACTTTACTATTAATCCTCCTACAAGGCCATTTTCATGAGTTGGTTATACCACCATTTTCCTCAAACTTCCTCCAAAAGACTTACTTTCTGTAATGCCGATCAGTAGAGAGTTACATACAAATTGTATTGCCCCTTGTGCGTTGCTCAGTGCGTCTTCCCTGCACCACACACATACCCTTCAGAGTGTAATCTTTTGTGGGCATAAACTATTTATGTATCAGGTACAAAGCTGAGCAAATTGTGTTTGAATTAATCACAATTAGAACCTCTTGGTTTTAACTGTCTCCTCCTTTGAGATTTCTATTAACTTAATCACTGATATTTTAATAAGTTTGCAATGAAATTGTTTCATAAAAATAAATGTATGACTTGTAATAAATGTAACATTGCCTGATTCTGTATTCCTTGTTACCTAGGAAGTCATAGTGAAGCCCCTAATATATATTTAGTCATACTAAATGTATTTAATGTGTTAAAAATCTTACCACCAATACAAATTTATATTCAGCACTGATGAGATTGTAAGCCAGAACCTCTATATATTTGTGAGAAAAACTTCCACAGAAAGGTCAATTCAAAATTCCATTTCATACTTAAGAAGTTCTAAAGGAAGAACTGTAAGAGTTTTGAGTCTAATGTACTATTTCAAATTGCACGTTCTGAAAGGCAGCTGCAGTACAACAGGGAATATTATGCTTACTCTAGTATGAGGAAAAGTTGTATGGCATTTAACGGATGGAATAGTTGGTGAAATATCAGAAGTTACTAGCCTAGAAAAATATCACTTAAATGAAGGGAATATGCTCTGACCATTTTAATTCTAACATTTAAAAAAAGATTTGAAAAGGTTAAAATATTACATCAAATGATAAGGGGATATAAAATAAGAGGCACGAAAGGCTCTCAACAGCAACAGCTCAGTTGGTAAGGTCTCTGACATTTCTTTGGTAAAAGCTACAATACTCCCCCTTAATAAAGTTGCTCTTCATGAAGACATTTTATGATTAATTGAAAAGTCTTATTACTTCAGAATCTTTTCTTACAAGCTTACTGAAGAATGCATTCAAGTCTTTAAAGGATAGGTTTTTAAGTCAGCAATTAGTGCATTCCATGACATGTGCATAATTCATTGCATTTTACTATGTTAGGGAAGTTCGGCAGCTATCTTTAGAGTAGACACCTACTTGCTTTGTAACTGGAAATCAGTGTATCCCAGGTGAAGTCAAGCAAACTTGAATTGCCTTTAAATATGATGTGCCTGATGAGAAAGTGGAGCTTGACAACTGAGCAAATTTTGGAGCCATCTGACCTCCAGAGTCCCAAAATGCAGCCGCCCCTTCCCTTAAAAAAAAAAAGTTTTTTTTCCAAGTTGATAAGTTTTGGCAACTTTGCTCATGTACAGATAGAGAGGAAGCCAGGGCAGGGAATTAATACACCAGGATTTCAAATGCTTGAGATTTATCCAGAGTGCATGACACCCACTAGCCCTTTGGAGAAAATCAAATTACATTATTAGCCAAAGTGTTTGGTTCTCCTGCTAGGCACGCACTAGGCTCACAAACAGATTACAGTTTGCATACACGGAGAGAGGGGAGAAGGGGTTGAAGGATAGGTCTAACTCAACAGGGCTTGACTAGTTCAAAGGGGAAGTTACAGCAATTAGCCTGAGCTATACCACCCAAGCACTGAGAGTTCAAATCCAATCTCAAATCTGAAATTAAGAAAAAGGCAGCATCTTGTTAAAGTCTGCCTTTTGCAAAGATTTTTTTTTTTATTTTGAGAAATTGTAATCTGACTACAACATAATATCCAGAAGGCGCTGAAGCTATTTTTTAAGAAATTGAGATTACCTGTCTTTCCAAATCTTGTCCAATAATGCCAGCTTCTATATGAGCAGTTAAGTTTCTTTCATCTATCCAGAGAATTCGATTCTATTATAAAAAAAAAAATCAGATGTTAAAGTAAATTCCAGAATGTAGTGGTCTAAATGATCTTGTTTTGCAAAGGATGTTTACACACTAGCAAACTTATCGGTTGTAATTTACCAACATTGTAGCTCCACCTATAGTTACATGAGAAGCTGTAGACAGACAACACTCAGGAATTTTTACTTTCATGTTGTGTAGCCTTGTCTACAATATCCAACGCAGGCCATGCAGCATCAGCAGCAGCAAGGAAGAACAGAAGAAGTGGTCAATTCACTCATCTTTTTATACCCTCTGTATGGTCCATGCAGAGACCTAGGGTGCAGGCTCAGAGCATGAAAATTATTTGCAAGAATTGTTGGTCTCAGGTGCATGTGACCCCACAAATGCAGTGCATATAGTGACCAAAGAAGATTGTTTAAATCCAAACAAAACAAATGCACTGAGGTTTGAAAAATAAAACCTAGCATACAATGAATGTTAAGCTATACACTTTTTAAAATTTCTGTAAAGATAGTAATCTAACAGCATCTTTCACATACAAAGCTTTCATACCATAAAAACCATCATTTCCCATAAAATTTGGTTGTTACTCAAACCCAGAAAAACATCCTTATTTCCATTCTTCTAAAGTAACTGAACATTTAAGCATCTCATTATACATGTCAATTTAGTTAACTTTATTTAACTGAATCACAATATGAATGAAGACTGAGTATCTTGTGATAGAAATGTAGCCATGTTAGTCTGGTGTAGCTGAAACAAAATACAGGACTATGTAGCACTTTAAAGACTAACAAGATGGTTTATTAGATGATGAGCTTTCGTGGGCCAGACCCACTTCCTCAGATCAAATAGTGAAAGAAAATAGTCACAGCCATATATACCAAAGGATACAATTAAAAAAAAAGTGAACACATATGAAAAGGACAAATCAAATTTCAGAACAATCTTGTATCACTGTTGTTGTTCAGTGGTTCTCTTCAAGTTACCTTTAACTGGTGTTTTCTATTGAAATGGGTCGTTACCACACTATCAGGCATCTATATGTTCAGAGAGATGCCTAGTTTATAGTTCATATAGTATTTTTCACTTTGCTTGCCTTATTGTTTCATTAATGACATCCGATGCCAAAAATCAATGGAGCCCTGCAAAGTTAAGTTTCTACTCAGATGTGGACATAAATTGGCATCCACTGATCTACAGATGCTATGGCCAATGAAGAGGAACATGGTACAGGTGTTCCTCAGAACCAGCATCCCATGATGGCAGCTCTTTCCAGACAGAAGGTTGTACCATCCCAGCCATCTCTCTTGTCTGGAGTCATATAGACCCACTGGCAATGGAACTGGGGGTGGATATCGATATCCGTGGGTAGAAATCTGTATCCACACAGAGCTCTAGACTCCGGTCATCTGAAGAAGTGGGCTATGCCCACAAAAGCTCATGATACCATCTTCATGTTTTGTTAGTCTATACAGTGCTACCAGACCTTTTGTTGTTTTTTTCTGTAACAGACTAACCCGGCTACCCCCTGAAGCTCTAGATATCAGTTTTTTTGTATAATTTTAAACAGATGTGTTAACTAATCAAGCCACAGTCAATTCATTTACAACTTGTAGTTCTCATTTAACTGTTAATGCAATAATTCGCGACATAAAATTTCTTTAAAGTTTTACTTTTCCCCTTGACCAGAGGTTCCCAAGATGTGGGCCATAGAACACTTCTGTTCCATACTTGAGTACAGTTCTTTCTGCCCCTCAAATCTACCCCTTTCATCATGCCTGTGGTAGCAAAGAGCAGCTGCTTTTATAAGATGAACTTCCTGATCCAGGCTGAAAGAGAAAGCTGCAAACTAGACTGCCACCTGAAGAGCCAGAGAAAAGGAATCAAAACCCAGTCTTTGCTATTAGGTCAATGGAGATTTTGCAAGACAGCTTTGCAAATCTTATGGAACAACACTAGATTAAAAATAGGATGCCATTTCTGAAAGGTAGTATTTCATTACTGCATAGCTGTAAAACCGGCTTACACAAGTGTACAATCCCTCCTATCAATGGAAAAGCAGTGAATACAGAAAAGTAAGTTTCCATAGCACTAACATATGACAAACTCGAACTCTTCTTGTAATTCCATAACATAGCCTAGTTTTCAAGATGACAGTGTCCCTTTGACTAAGTGAGTGCTATGTTGTATGATGTGCTATTTAAAGAATGTTTAGTTCAAAGTACTACCATTGACTGTGTCTTCTCCCCACCAACCTGTATGCTGTAAATGTTACTGTGCAAACACACTGCCGAGTGAAACTGACTATACAAGACACTCAAAATATCATCTCCCTCTAATACTTCACTTACAGTCTTGGTGTTATTTGTGACTATAGCAAGCAAAAGTTTAAAAGCATTGCCTCTTTAAAACTTCTGTAACTTCTATGGAGATGGAAAAATGCTAAAAGTATTAAAATTGTAGTTTTGCGCCTTGGTCTAATTTGTAACAAACTTATGTATACAGCTATTTTTAAAAAGTAACTTGCAAATTCACATGTCATTAGCAAGAGTACAAAGGGGCATTCAACATAAAAAAAACTACACTGCTATTTCATTACGTCTCTTCACAAAGGCCACTATGCAGTACCCTGATGACACCAGCAACAGAACAATGCTGGACCTCTTTCTGAATAGGGTGAACCCCCAGTGACCAGTAGCTTACATATATAGTACAGTGTTTCAAAGTCACATTCTATTTGCTCTTGGATATACAGTAAAGCATTTTGGTGATAGCCCTTTTTCCCCATTTTTGCTCTTGCAATATCAGGCAACAACCAAATACTACAGTCATTTGTTGCTTTTAAAACATTTACAGTATACTTTTAAATGCTGTGTACTGTGAATATTCCCTTAATATATTAGTACATACCATTTGTGATGTATCCAATGAAACAATAGTTCTTCTCTCATCAGCAGGACATTCAAGAGCACTAGAAACACTTGTTCCTCCTGCAAATGTTGGAAATATCAATTTAGAGTGAAATGATTTGCTCTGATTACCACATTTAGCTAAATCAGGTATTTTCAGTATTAAACATGCGTCTCTTAGAAAGGTTGTGTAACACTAACTGTTGGAGAAAAACATTATATCTGCACATCTGCAGTGTACATTTACACTGTAGGACAAGCCCTGAAGCTGCAGAATTTCTTGAAAAGTTCATAAAATGAGTACCTGTTCAACTGCACAAATTTCACTTTGTAATGCAAAACATTCCGAGCACTAGTTATAGGAGGCCATCAATTTCCCCAATCATCTCATTCCTTTCTTTTAAATCCCAGAACAGAAAAAGCGGGAAAAGGTGAATATGGTGCAAATACAGAGAAACACCACCCTGAAAGAACCACAGTTACTGTAAGTTTTCTTTCTTCAAATGGCCTTTACATGTTCCTGCTCATGAAAGTTTAACTAGTAGTACAATGCACCAGGAAAGTGGGTTGAGGAGTTGTAGTTAAATGAGAATTGCAAAGCTATCATTCCAAAGCAAACATTAAATCTAGACATCAAGTTGAGAAAGCAGAACTTGATGTGTGTGAATAAACCCAGAGGTCACAACCTTTTTGACCAAGATATCAACTTAAGGCATTTGTCATATGCTTCACAGCAGCCAACTTGAAACCTCAGATTTCTCAAAGGCTAGTGAGACCCCCAAGAACCTTGAGATAAGTATATGAAATACTAAAATACTGCTGCGGAATCTGACCAGAAGTGGGATAAAAGATAGGTTCAACAAATGGATGTGGCAAAGGAGGTAAAATTTAGCCCTTTTGGAAGAGGAAGAATTGAGAGGGGCAGATTTCAGCTACCTTTTTATGTTTCTTTGATCCTCAAGAAGTTGAGGAAGGTCTCTAATATGGCTATTATTGTCCAGGTAAACTTGGAAGACCAAAGCAGACAGTCACAGGCCAACCCTAATAGTCACTAAACAAAACGACTTTCCAATCAAGAAACTCTGGCATATCCTCTAGAATAGATCTACATGTGGATGTCCATTAGATCATTGTGGCACAGAACGAATACCCTCTCAGAAAAAAGGTGCATGGACAACCATCACCAAAGAAGGTTGAAGACTTCTTGGATCCAGGTTCTGTAATAATTAATGAGACAAGGGCACCCTTGGAATTGAGAACTAAAAATGGCCCTCCAATATGCCTATTACACTCCCTGGGTATTTGATAATGTTTCTGTTTTGTTACGGCACTGAATGCTCCAATGAAGAGATTCTCCCCCAGCCCATTTTTCTTACACAAATATATTTCAGGGCACAGAAAAGCACAAATTAGGTCTTCATAAATGTCAAGCCCAATAGAGACCATGTTACCTTTGGCATCAACAGAAGCAAGCTCAGCTAGAGGATTCCACAGTGCTGAAAGTCTTCAGAAATGGGGAGTCCATACAAATGCACTGACTCACTTGAAGAAAGAGGAGCTTTTGAAGTCTCCACATTGACAGATTTAGACACCAGATAGATAAGACAATGGAAGTGGTTCCAATGCCAGTCACATTTACCAGCTGACTTTCAACTGACAAAAGGGGTCAGTCCCAAGACTAAAGACTAAAGTTTCCCCACACAGAACCTGAACAGACCTCTCCATCTGTGTACTGAGAACAAATCTGAGGGGTTGGGCCCCAGGCCCTTACTTCATGAGGAATGTCTGTATCTGAATGTGCCTGTCCTTTTGAGCCTACTGTGTAAAGGCCCAGTATGTAACATGTTAGTCCAAAGAATGGTTTTCCTCAGGCTATCAATGCTTGGGCTCAGACTTCAGGAATCTGAACTGATTTGATGCTTCAGAACTGAGCCAAATATGATCCAAACATATAACTGAGCAACAAACTAGCAAAGGTCACTGTCTAGAAAGCTTCAATGAGATTACTGATGAAATTAGCAAGAGAAAAAAAAATATGCACAGTTGACAAAAAAAAAAAAAAAAAAAAAGAAGAGGGATGAACTGCCTGCATGGTTTCTTGTGACTTCTGCTGCCAATGTTTGCTGCAGCATGCTCATTCAGGCCTAAATGGAAACTGTTCTTCTAGAAAGTCCCCAACGTACAGCTACGCAAGTAGGAATATTCAGACACCACTTCAGAGTAAATTTCTCCTTTTACATAGTGAAACATTCAAGTACTCACAGATATAAGAGGCTTCCACTAGACTGAAGTGAACCAAGCACAGCAAATGAGATTATAAATTCAACAGGATATATGTTGGTCTTCAAAAATTATTAGCCTTGCCCAAGTTTTGACATGATTACTACTTTAAACAGTGCTTTATAAATATACACTCAACAGAGCATTTAGAAGAGTTGGCTGATTTATTACCATGACCTCATATCACTAACACTAGTCACCTGAATAGAACGTATAAAGAGACTGGAGACTTACCCAGCATTGCTTGGGTACTTCAGGGCAGGGGACTAGGAGTGTGGGAGGTGCAGGAATCAGGGCAGGGGCTTGGAGGCATGTTGTACAGGGGGCATGGGGTGAGGAGAGGCTCAGGAGTCTGAGTGGGGGTTTAGGAGTCAGGGTAGGGCCAGGGAAGGAGGTGATGGCCCAACTGGCTTCTGACCTGGGCTGGCCAGGGGTGGAAAGTGCTGCATAGCCTTCCTGCTTACTTCTCCCTGGGGCTGGGCCCAGTGACCCAGGGAAGGTCCCACCTGCAAGCTACAGGGAGGTGGCAGGGGACACACAGCACACCTGCTATCACTGCCTAGGCCCAGTCCCAGGACTGCTGGTCCCATACTGGCCAGTGCTTGCTGCCATTTGTGAGCATAATTCACTATCACATCATTCTCTTCCAGTTTGATGAGAAACAAATCGCATTTTACATATAACCCATTGTCTTGGCACAATCAAACTCTGAGCTTGCTTTAAGTTAGGATAAGAGGACGCTGCATACCAAATTTTGGTGGCCCTAGCACTTACTGTTTAGTAGGAGTTCTTTAACATACACACTAGCAGACAAACTCTCTCAAATATATATTAGATATGTAACTTTATAGTTTAAAAATCACCCTATCAAAAATGTTAAACATACAATACTCACCACCAAATGGTATTATGCAAAGATTATGTTTGCTGGCTAATTCCACAATTTTAACTACATCATCATGGCAATCTAAGAATCAATAAACAACAGTTAGAACAGGCTTTTTGAATAATTAGCTTCAATTTAAACTCACTAGTTGTCTGCTAATTCTTGAGGGCCTGATGGTACTTTCAGACACTCTGGGAGTGCGTAGCTTGAAATAAGCCATGCAATTTGAGCTATGCAAACTGTATAGCTTATTTCGAGTCAATTTTGAAATATCTTATTTTGAAATTTGGCACTGTGTACACAGCACTTATTTCTAAATGAACTGCTATTCCAAAATGTCCCTTCCTTCTGATGTCCCTGTAAACCTCATTCCATGAGAAGTGTGAGCCCTTTATATTTTGAAACAGGCATGCTCAAAAAACACAGAATAGCTATTTAGAGATCCTTCTATATCCCAAAATAGTGCTGCAGTGTAGACAGTCTAATAGTGCAGAAGTCTCTTTTCAAAGTGAGGACAGATTTTCAAGAATAAATAGGCTCCAGATGAAACAGTATACACTATGGTAGTGTTTTCAAAGGATGTGGAGCTAGATCCAATCTAACTGACAACAATGAAAAATAGTCAATTTTGAACAAGAACAGTTCTTAGTGAATTTCTCTGAAGGAAAAACTCCTCAGGCTCTGGAAAAAAGCTTTCCTTTATTGTAAGCCCAATTACTTTTCAGAAGATACCTTTTGCACCATACTTACATAACCGAGAAGACTGTGGGGTGAAATTAGGGGCCCACATGTGCAAGAGAATAGAAGGAATGCCAGAAAAGTGGTGAAACTAGGGTGGTTTACATAAGAGAGAATGGAGAACAGCAGGAACAATCTGAACATACATATGCAGGGGAATCTATGGAGGTGCAAGAGGCATTTGGAAAGTAACGAAACAATGACAGCGTACACACTACAATGCAACTTTTGTCAGGAAAAACACCCAGTTTTGGCAACAAAAAAAGTCCACCTCTGCTGCAAGAGGCTTTTGTCTTTTCTCCTCCCTTGATTAATGACAAAGAGCCAGTGTGGACTCTGATGTTTGTTTTCAGAAGAGAATTGACTTCCGCCAGTATTCCACAATGCCTTTCCTGATGACTGTGCTCAGTGTTTTGTGATCTCTGCTGACCTGCAGGCATATGCCCTTCCCTTTCAAAGCTCTGGGAAGTATCTGACAGCTGAGTGAGCTGCTCCATTTGGGGGAACAAAGAGTAAATCATTGGAATGCTCCCATTCTGCCCTGCTGAAACACAGCAACAGGCAGACTGCTGCTTCAGGGGGAAGGCTGGAGAGACTGCTGTGCTGCTTTATATTCCTCAGCATGGAGAGCTCACAGAGCTATGAGGGAATCTCAAGAAGCACAGGGATCAACTCTGCCGTCCCACAACATTGCACTGTGGGATGCTAGCAATGTGACCGTGAAATGTTCAAGTGGCAGAAAAATCGGTTTGACCATTTTTCCACTTTTGCATGTTGACAGCACATCTCACCAAACCTTCACAGCGCAGAAACAGACAAACAGGGCAGAGTTCATCTCTGCTGCTTTTGTAAACCTAGTTAACTGTTTAGTAAGGTCTGGGTTCTTTCATGATGCTCCAGGACTGAGATAGCATCCACAGCATACTTGTGAATAGGACCATAAAAAGTTAATAGAAATTTAAAGTTGAGTCTTGGTGCTTCATAATGAAATATTATATGGCAACATCCTCTTTTGGCTTATTATATATGGTCCATGCATGAAAATTTTAATTAAACATACCTAGGAAATTCCCAGATAAACTGTATTATAATGGCATTAAGGGTGAGAGTACATATCAGTAATTCAGGGATATATTTAATGAATTACAGCAACGCTGTAATTCTCCGCACACAAGTGTTAAAACCCCAAAACATTTAGGAATTACATACAGTATACATGAAGTGGGTTGGTCATCAGTACAAAAGGGCATATGGAACCAAGACAAGGTTTAATCCTTTATTAAAAATTGAGAAGTTGTTTGCAGTTGTTTGATTATAACTATTGATAACTAGCATTCATCTTACTAGTTCTAAGTAACAGCCTTTCATTGTAACTAAAAATCAAGTCCTTAGGACAAAATCCTAACACTATATTGAATACTCCATGCTAACAGAAAGAGATGAGAACATCTAGATTGAAAAAGTAAAGATGGCCACTCTTAAAAGGTGAAACAGAAGGTATTTTTGACTCCTTGATACTAGCAAGTTTATTTATTGCAAGCAAATGACAAAGTGAGGGATCCCCAACTAGTGTGACAAGATCATTTCCCAATCTACTCTTTATCATCAGTCACAGGGAGTTACAACCTCTAGAGCAAAAATAAAATAAATAAATGAATAAAAATTTACCTGGCCATACAACTATATCAGGAATTCGTTTAAACATTCCTTCCCTAAGCACAAGTATCTCATGTAGGCAGTGACCTAAAGTACAAAAAAAAAAAAAAAAAAAAATCCAGTTACAAGGACTTTGAAAAACCAAACAACTTCTAAAAGCATAAAGTTATACATTGGACTATATCTTACCATGAGCTCTGAACACCCTATCTTCTGCTTCCCGTGAATATGAAATTTTAGTGGCTCTAAGATCCTGAAGAAATTCTTCATTTACAATAGATGGGGGTACATCACTTATATTTAAAGAGGTCTACAACAAAAGAAAAATCATTGCCATTAGGGAGTCCCCTAAATCATGCTGGTCTCTCCTGACTACCCGGATTAGAGTTAATGGTTGATAACACCAACAAAAGGTGAATATTTATTTGAATTCAATTTATTTATTTATTTGAATTTAAAGTTGTTTTCATTATTATCCATAGCCTCAGTTCTAACTACACTATCTTTTGATTCCTCCATTCAATTGCATTCTCTTTTGTAGACTGGACTCCTCACTGATGCTCTGACTCTTATTTTCTAGATAAATTGTTCAGTACATCACTGTCAAAGCCAATGATCTGTTTAGTATAACAATCCACAGCACTGCACAAAGGCCATCTTAACACAGTAACTCCCTAACAGAGAGAGAGCAAGAAAAGATCACAAAGCAGCTTGCTTTAGGGGTAAACTACCTAATTTAGCCCTTCACAAAAGGTGACACAAGGAAAGATCTTTACAGATTAAGTGCTGTTCTACTTTAAAAACTAACTGAAAATTGCAGTGGATGTTCCATCTTCTGTTTTTCAAGGATTCTTGAGCTATGTTGCTACAAGTAGAAATTTTACTTTCAAATTAAAATGAACTTTTCCCATTTTACACATAGGTATTTATTATTCTCCATGCAAAACTGCAACTGTACTGAAGGTGTGTCTACACTGCACCGTTATGCCGAGATATTCACTAGCATTAACTAGCATTATTTCGAAACAATGAGAGTGTCTATACAGCTATTCCGTTATTTAGAAATAATTTCAAAATAACAGACAGCTTGTTCCAAAATCATTCTAAGAGGAATAACATCTGCTCTGAAATAGCTATTTCAAAATAAGATGTGTGTAGATGCTCCTCTGCTGCTATATCGAAATAGCCCCTCACCAGAGCCATTCTAAGTTATTCCTCCCTAGTGCCTCCTGGGGCTCTAAATCGAGATAGCATGTCTACACTATGGAAGCCTGCCTCGGACTAATTTTGAGGCTTCCCTGCAATGGAGACACACTATTTTGAAATAAGCCATTTCGGAATAACTATTCTGAATTCTCTTACTTTGAAATAAGCGTGCAGTGTAGACGTTACCTTACAGTTATCATTCCTATTCAGAATCCTTGATTGAATACTCAAAAATTCCACTTTTCTATGCTATGAATGGCTGAAATTTCTAATCCTAATACTCCACAGTTCACTTCCATTAAAAAAATTAAATAAGAAAGGAGGAAAATAGAAGGAAAAAAGATTTTCCATCTAAGGGATTTTTAGAAATATTAAAAATTAAGAATTGCTTGAAATAAAAAAAGGAACTTTTCCAGTTTAAGCCCTGCATTTATGTTTTGCTTTAAGAATTTTCACAAAAACCCAATAGAAAAATGTCCATATTATTTTCTACGTTAAATTAGTCTGGGTGTTCGTTTTCCCTGATGCATTTGTATTTCAAATGTAAGTGCATTCTTACACTTAACTCTTCAGGGAAGGGATCACCTTTCTGTGACATGTCTGTTCAGTGTCTACCGTATTAGGACCCGTATCTGGCTCTGCAGGTACTCCCATAATACAAACAACAACAACTGTGTTAGGGATGTTAGAAATTGTTTATTTTAGTAATCATGTTGCCGCAACAATTCTTAGCGATTACACAGTTACTAAAATGCTACCTCTGGGAGTGTGGCCAGCAGCCAATGAGCTCCCAGGACCACTCTTGGGGAGCCCCCTACCACTTTGCGCTACTGCTTTTGTGTCAGACCTGTATCAGGTGGCAGGCAGGAACCAGTCTGTGGGAGGAGCCAGTTTAAAAGTCAGCTCCTCGCATAGATCGGCTCCCACCGGCCTTCCACGCTGCTGCCTCTGATACATAGCAGCAGTGCAGGCCGGCGGCGGCCCCTGTCCGTGGGGTGGAGATTGAGGAAGGGAAGAGAGAGAAGAGAACCGAGCTCCCCAGGGACAGACTACTCTGGCATCCCATGGAGCAACCTCTGCCCACAGCAAGCCCAGGCCTGCAACAGAGAATGGCTGTGCCACCCCACGCTGCTGCTCTGTATCAGAGGTAGCAGCAGGTGGCTCCCCTACATGCTTTTCATTTAAAAACTCGGACCAGTGGGCTGCGATTGAGCCAGCCTGCCAGAGTTTTAAACACAGAGCATGTGGGAAGGAGAGATGTTGAGCTTAACCAGGACCATTAACTTATAAGCATTCACGTATTGATTAAACAGATATCCGACTATCCCTAAACTGTGTATGTGACCTAAAGAGAAACACTTACTAGCTTGACTAGTCTATGTTCATTGTCCAAACCATGTGCAAAAGTAAACAAAAAAGTGGAAATGGTGAAAGGTGTATTTGATTTTCAAAACCAATTTAAAAAAAAAAAAATCAGCTTTCACTGTTTACAGTATTATAACACCAAATAATTCTAATAACAATGTTCCATGAACCAAATGCAAATATTAAGTATGCTTTAAAACTCTAAAGATTTATCAAAGCTTGCTGCAATTTTCAAGAAAACAGTTTAATATTTCAGTTAACCTGACAAAGCCAGACTCTTCAATTCTTAGAGACACAAATATTACTGCCTCAAACAGATGATATACATGAGCAACTTATCAAGTATGTTCAACAGACACTGTAATTCTGCAGAAAATGGTAGGTAATGTTAGTTGAATTATATTTTGTGTAGGGACATTAGATTTCATAACTGAATTAGGGATGTAAAATTTCGATTAATTGGCTAATCAAATATTTGAAGCAATTTGCGTCGACTATTTGATTAGTTAATAAGGTGCCTCCATATATGAGGTGTAGCAACAGTCCCAGGGCTGTTACACTTCAAAGGCAGGAGAACACAGGGCCAGCAGAGGACTCAAGCACTCCCCTGCTGGCCCTGTGCTCCACTCAGCATTTCAAAGAGACAGTGCCGCATGGAGACCAGAGTTAGTAGGGGAGTCCCCAGCTGACCCTGAGCTCCACGCGGCACTGCCACTTTGAAGCACCCTCTCCTCTTTCCCCCTCTCCTTGCTGCCTCTTTTTGATAGAGGCAGCAAGTGGGGAGGGGTGGAGAGCGACTAGTTGCTTTTGTTTATCGGCTAGTCGACAAGACATTCACATCACTAAACTGTGTAACCACATGAAACCTTAGTGGTTACACGACTATTTGATAGTCCTCAAGGGCAGGGGCAGCTGCCAGTGCACTCCCAGCCCACTTCAAGGGAGTCCCTTGCTGTATCTGAATCAGAGACAGCAGCGTGGGTTGGAATGGCAGGCAGAGACGATCCTCAAGGGGAGCCAGTTTAAAAACCAGTTCCCCACGCAGACTAGCTGCCTGCCGCCCCACGCTGCTGCCTCTGATACAGAGGCAGTAGCACAGGGTGGCAGTAGCCCCATCTGTAGTGGGGAGTCTAAGCTCCCAATGGACAGAGGCTGCTCTGTTGGATGCGGAGCAATCTGTCGGCAGGGAGCTCAAGCCCACTGTGGACAGAAGCAGCTTCATGGCAGACTCCCCTGTCCCCTACCCTCCCCCCCGGCACTGCTGACTCTGACAGAGGTAGCAGCATGGGGGAGCCCATACATGTGAGGAGACAGCTTGAAAGCCAGCTTCCCACATATACTGGCTCATGCCTGCCCTCTTCACCCTCTGTGCTGCTGCATCTCTATCAGAGACAGTAGCGTGGAGGTGGGGGGAGCAGGCAGATCTAGTGCTCGGGGGGGGAAGGGGAAGCCTGCTTAAAATCCAATGCCTCACAGGCATTGTCTCCCACTCTCCCCACCCTTGATACAGAGGCAGCAGGTGTGTTGGGGGGGAGGGGGAGAGAGAACACGAGTAGTCAACAAGATTAACTGATAAACCTAGGCAATGACATCCCTAATTTTGTGTGGTTTCTCTCTCATTGTAAGCAGGAGTAAAAAATATTTACTCACAAATGAAAGTTCTCTCTTTTCTGGGCAGGCACTTCTATTCAGCAGTCTCTGAGACAATACATCACCATGCAAAAACCTCAATCCTCCCTGTACAAGTAGTGTGACATTATTACAGCAATTTTAGACTTTCAGTAATTTCAAGTCATCCAGGTTTTGATGTATAATATAGTATATAAGAAGGCATGACCTTCTAAAATAAATATATTGTATTAATACTAATGCACTCATCCATATGTAAGGGCATACTGAAAGTAACTGTATGAGTTGTGTCTAATAGATGAATGATTATGTCATCATAAGTGTAATATGTTTGAAGGATCTGGCTTTTTCAGCTGTTTACTTACTCTAGAGGTAATTTTGTGCTCCAGACTTGCTCCTAAGGTTTTTTCCATCCATTCCTTCAAAATAGGTAACACCATGCCACTCAACCTGTACCTGAAACGTAAAGGCTACATTACACTGGTGGTTCTTAATATGAAATGAGCTTATGTAAATTATTTAAATGTCTTGCTTATTTGTATTTATGCGGAACAAGGGGAAGTTTTATTTAGCACTCCTATCCAGATCTGCAAAATTATGCAGCTATAGTGTTAAATATAAAACATGTAATTATATAGCTACGTTAAGACTATATGCCTTAAAACAGATTGGTTTGTATCTAATGGAAATATAGATACTACTATCTACAAAAATGTTTACTTTTTGAATCCTACTATTTTTTAATTTGAATATTTTGTGCCAAAGGAGTTCAAGGGGGTAATTATGTAACGTGCAAGAAAGTACTTCCTTTGACCATTTTAAATTGATCTTTCATTTCTCGTGAATGTCATTTTCCATTATGTAAAGTAGCAAAAATAGGAGCACTTTATTACCCTCTATATACCATTTATTCTTTTGCAGGTCTATGTAATGCCACCCTTGTTTTTTCCTCCCTCTGAACTACAATTACAATATTTTCTATTTCTTCTCAGACTCCTTTCATGTCATTGATAATTTCCACCCATCTTTGAGTACAACTTCCCCCTCTTTTTTTAAGCAGGAAGCATGATCAGAACTAAACACAGAATTACAGGTAAAGGTGTTCATTAACATAGTGTGGAACTTTACTGGTTTCAGTAGTATTTATACCACTACTTTTAAATCTGAACTTTTTTTTTTTTTGACATCCCACTGTACATGGAACAGATTTTCAACAACTCATCCAAAATCATGTGAGGCCATTTTCCTTATTGCATTTCACAAGAGTGAAATCTTGGCCCCATTAAAGTCAATGGCAACTCTTCCACTGACTTTAACAGGACCAGGATTCCACCCAAGGTATTTTCATATGACTATGTTAAGAATTGTAATGCCATCACATGCACATTTCTACACTGCCTTAATCATTTCCCTTTATTAATATTCTTGGTATGCATAATTGTTATATTACCAAGAAGAGAGCCTCCTCTCAGTTTTTAATAAAATTCATGG